TCTGCCACCTCCTCCAAATAATACAATATTAAAAAAAAAGAAAAGAAAAATTACAATGGTCGGAGCTTTTACTTTCTGCCTCTTCTCCTGATGACCCTCCAGGATGGAGGGTAGCTCCTACCCAAAGGGAACAGGGGAGAGAAAAAAGGTCCAAGTAACCTCTACTGAATAATAAATAATCCACACTTGTCAATCTGTACTAGTCCTGCTGAAAGAATCTGGCAGGTTTATTCCTTTAAAAAAAAAAAAAATGTCTTCCAGGGCTAACTTCTATCACACCTAAAATCCAAGTAACATCCAAAGCTCTCACTCAGCCATGCACAGTGGTGCATGCCTGTAATCCCAGCAGCTCCGGAGGCTGAGGCAGGAAGACTGTAAATTCAAAGCCAGCCTCAGCAACTCAGCAAGACCCAAGACCATGTTTCTAAATAAAATACAAAAAAGGGCAGGGATGTGGCTCTGTGATTAAGAGCCCCTAAATTCCCAGTACCAAAAAAAAAACTCATTCAGCCTAGTGACACAGCCCTACTGGTTACCTGAACATCCCCATCTCCCTCCACCCACAGCCAATGCCAGTCCCTGCTCTGCTGTGTCTGCGGCCCAGGCATCCTACCGTTTCCCCCTGTGTGCTCCACTCCCCTCCACCCTACTCAAGTGCCATTCTCTGTACAAAGCCTTCCTCAGACACTGCTGTCTCCATTCTCTGAAGTCTGCTGAAAGCAAGCCAGCTTTTCTCTAGGAAACTAGGGAGGAGGACCAAGGAAAGTGGGAGCTCTGAGCACATGGATGAGAAGTTTAGGCGGTGACCACCAACTTCTGCCACTTCTGCTTCCCAAGAGAGGCTTGGTGTAAAATAATTTGGGAAGGGCCTCCACATTTAGGTGGCAATTAGAGTCACTAAGGATAGATGAAAGTATTTGCAGAAAGTATGTCACATAGCCAGGCACAGTGGCACATACCTGAAATCCCAGCAGCTCGGGAGGCTGAGGCAGGAGGATGGCAAGTTCAAAGCCAGCCTTAGCATGCTAAGCAACTCAGTGAGACTCTGTCTCTAATAAAATACAAAATAGGGCTGGGGATGTGGCTCAGTGGTCGAGTGCCCCTGAGTTCAATCCCTGGTACCAAAAAAAAAAAAAAGTGTGTCACATATATTGTTTTTGGTTTGCAGTATTATACAGGGACTGAACACAGGGCCTCACACATACTAGAACACTTGATCACTGAGCTTCATCCCCAGCCCTTTTTGATTTTTTTTTTTAAGTTATACATGGACATAATATCTTTATTTATTTTTAGATGGTGCTTGGGATCGAACCCAGTGCCTCACATGTGCGAGGGCGAGGCAAGCGCTCTGCCACTGAGCCACAACCCCAGCCCACTTTTTACTTTTTGAGACAGGGCCTCACTAAGTTGCCCAGACTGGCTTCCTACCTGCAATCCTCTTGCCTCGGTGTCCCAGGTAGCAGACCATAGGTGTGTGTCACAGCAGTACATAGTTTTAAAAAGAAGAGTAATCTTGCTTGTGTTTGTGAATCATTCGATAGGTCCATCTTATGATGTCCCTCTCCTAAGTAGCCCCACTCCCCCAACAAGGCAGCAAGCTGAAGGAATGATATTACACACCTCTGCCCAGGGCCAAGCACAGGACCAAGGCCTCCATCCTCCCCCAACACACCTGCCCTCCAGGAACTGAGGCAGACAGCAGAGCACCCCCAGTCCCAACTTGCAGATTGAAGACACTCAGCTCACCCAGAGGCAGGAAGTTGAGATCCTCAAGGGAGAAAACCTTCATTTTATAACTGCATCAAAGAGAAAAGTACTTTATTCTCTTTGTTGTGAAGGTACAAATTAGATTCACCAGATTCTGGTACAATGGGAAAAAAAAAAAACACAGGAGATCTCAGAGGAGAACAGCTATTTTCTCCCCACCCCAGCAGCTAGACCAAGGTGTTCTCTTTTTTTCCCTATGATCAATGGTCAAGGACAAGAAAACTCTTCAGAATTCCAGAGTTCTCCAATGACAGGAAATGTCCCAAAATTATAGTGGGAAGGCCTGATCGGGTAACAGAAAAAAACCACCCCAGACAAGAAGTCAAGAGCAAGGAGTTCAGCCTCACCTCTGGCACTAGCCAGCCCTGGGACTTCTTCCTCAGTAAGGGATAGGGCCCTGGATACCAGAGTAACAAAGACACCATGCTTTGCCCTGGGGTTGCCAGAGAATCAATGAACAGGAAAGTAAGATACAAAATGCTAACCAGCCTTGCAACTACCAATCCTGGCACTGGAGCCCATTCTTCCCCCAAAACCCAACACTGTATATTTCTTAGTCACCTCTGTACCCCCAGGCCTCAGCGAGTCAGCTAATTGAGCATGAGTTGCCAGGTGGATTTGATTGGCCCACCTGCCCAGGAACACTAAGTCCGTGCCCTACTCCGAGGTCCTTCAGGTTTCAGGCCCCACACAATTGGACTGCTGGCCGACCTTTGCCTTGGGCACCACAGAGTCCCATAGCGCACAAGTGCCCACCGGGGATGGGCATTCTCGACCAGAGGCCCACTCAGTTGTGGAATCTACGACAAAAGCTTCCTAAATGGGTGATGGCACCATTTCCAATGTAAAGAGATGGTGATAAAACAGCTTTCGCTTGATGCTCGGGTCCTAGGGAAGCCAGCCAGCTCCTCCCTCAGGCTCCACTGGGCCGCAGGCCGACTCACTGGCAAAGCCTTGGAGGGGAAATCACTGGGGAGTGGAAGCACTCAGGGCACAGTGCTAGGATTCCCGGATCATGGCCCCTTAGGGGTAAGACCAAAGCCTCCACCCCTTCAGCCAGAGCACCTCTTACACACTGTGCAATGCCCCATAAGAAGGGCTCCCTGATCTAAAGAAAAAAAGTTTGGGGACACTACTTCGGAGCAATCCATTCCTTGGGAAGACCCCAGCACCCCACTGTTTACTCACCACGTCACTCCTTTCCCCAAGAGGCTTCAGGTGGCATCTCGCCATTCCAAACACTATCCTAATTTTTTCCTAATGTATTAAATAAAATGAACTTAACTTCCCCTTGAAAGTTATTTTTCTAAGGATTTCGTGAAGCCACAGAACTCTGCATTGTGGGAAAATAGATCTGAAATCACTGCCCTTGGGGATAAAATCCAAACCCTAGTCTATCCCTTTCTTGGCGGTCAGGACTAGCTCCTCGAACTTCTGCCTGAGGCCCCACCTTCTCCAGGAGGCCTGGTCAGGGTGGATCCAAATTAACAGCAATTCATCCACTACATTACCTAGACCAGAGACTGAAGCTAGCACTGATTCACACACATCCCAATGAAGACTTGAGTCCATACTCCAACTTCTGTGCTTCCTCCCTCTGAAAGATTTCTGGAGATAATCTTGGATAAACTTCCTCCTTCACAAAGACAGAAGTAATTAAAAAGAAAAAAAAAATTGCCCTAATAAGACCCTTCCCCCATTCCTACCCTCAGGGCCACATCCGACAGCCCCTTCTTAGCATCTTCCAAAGCATAATCCCAGGAAAGCACTGTATTTGCCAGAATGCAGCTTTGAGGGAGAGAGGTGTAAGAGAGTCGGTCACCCAAGGTGGAGACAGCAGGACTACTGATAGACAAGCTCTGCTATGTGGCGGACAGTTTAGATTCTCTATGTCAGTTTCCTTCAGCTATAAAAACTAAATGGAGATGGCCCATGTAGTTGAGAGCTATTACAAGGAACACCTTATAAAATCACTCCCTTAATAACTGAGGCTTTTAACAGCCACATAAATGGGTCTCTTTAGCCTTTGCCCTACAAGTTGCTAAGGGCAGTTTTTCAGCCCTCTCTGCTCACTTCTTTTTTCCTTTTACATATGTGTCTTCATTTATTTTTATTTTATACATCAGTTAACTCTTAAGGACAAGACTTAGAAAGGATGTACTTGCTGTTCCCTGGCTCTGAATGTGTTAAACAAAACAATATATCATAATTCAAAACTTGTGGCGCTCAATACTTTCTGAGCATTCCAGCCAGTCCAAGCTAGACTTTTCTCTCTGGGAAACAGGAATAATAGCTAGTTCACATGGTGGTAACAATTAAACACTTGGTAAAGCAGAGTGCCTGCCACAACCGTAGGTGCACAATAAATGTTAGTTCTGCTCCTTTCTCAGTGCAATGCTTTCTTCCTGGCATCCACACTCCCTGATCCGTCCAGAACAAGACTAGCACTCCTCACAGACTCCCAGCAGTACCCCTTCCCTACACGCACACTGAAAAATCATTCACTTCCAAGAGAAAGAAGGGGTTCCAAAGGGTACCAGCCACCAGCCTTCCTCCGCAGGCAGCTCAGTGCTCTCGGGACAGAACTGAGCTCCAACAACCACTACTAAGATTTTCCCATGTTGCAATGCAACTTCCCCCAACTTTTCCCGACCCAGTTTCCAAAGAAACCTGGGCAGGCTTTGTGCAAAATCAACCACAAGTCTAGATGAGCTGAGACTGAACTTCGGGCAGAGGGAAGGGAGCTGGGTCAAAAAGTGAAAAGTCCTGAAAGCGGGTGGCAGGGACCAAAATGCAGTTGCACTGGTCCTGGCTCAGGCTCCCTTCTTCTTGATTGTGCCACTGGTTAAATGCTAGCACAGGCTGCCAAAGGACTAGAAGACGGTGAAGAGTCAGAGAAAAGAAACCCAACGTCCCTCCAAGGCACCCCTCAACCCCGACGCCGCAACTGGACCTGGTGGCCTCCGGGGGACCCTGCAGCCGTGGCACCTGGGAGGGAGAAGGCCTGGGGGAGGGGCAGCATTGTTCACAGAGACCGGCGGGACTGGAGAAGGAGGTGTGAATTCGGGGTCCAGGCGTCGCCCGCTCCCCGCAGGGGCTAAAGGAGAGAAGGTGTCACTCGGGGCGATCGCCGTGTAGCGCAGGGGCCCCAGCGAGATCCCCCTCGGCAAGCTGCCGAAGGAAGGAATAGAGGTCGAGGCGAGAGGCCGCGCGGGGGGTCTGACACTCACCGGCGCCCTCGGCGGGCTGCGGCGGCCCGACGACGCCGTTCAGGTAGAGAATGGGCAGCAGGTGAGGCTGCGTCTTCTCCAGCGCCGCGCGCAAGTCCTGGAAGTGGTCCCGCTCCTTGGCCAGGAGCAGCTTGAGCAGCAGCTCCGCCTTGGCGCCTCCCGCCTCCTCGTCCAGCTGCCGCCGCTCGCCAGGGCTCAGCGCTCCCGCGGCCTCGAGCAGTCCGAGCACGGCTTCCACCTCCGTCATGGCCTGGGCCAGGCTCTGCTGACACTGGGCGAGCAGCTCCCGGCGCTGGGGCTCCATGGTGGCGGGCCGCGCCGCCCCGCCCTGCCGGACAGCGCCCGGGCTCCCCAAGGCAGGCGAGCGCCCGGGCGGCAGCCTTAGCGCGCCGGGAGCCGCGAGGCGGCGGGGGCCATGGGCCGGTGCCGGGCGGGCTGGGGCCCGGGGCGGCGGGCGGCTCAGCAGCGGCCGCCTCCCGGGCTCCTGAGCGCAGCCATGTTGGCTGCAGCGGCGGCGGGACTAGAAGAGGAGGAGGAGGAGACGGAGGAGGAGAAGGAGGAGGCGGAGGTGGGGACGGCGGCCGGGGCGCGCCCCGAGGCCCGGCTCCAGCCGGGCATGCCCCCTCCCCCTCGCCTCGGCGCACGGCCCGCCTGCGCCGTCCCCCAACACACTACAACTCCGGGGGAAAGTCGCCGGGCCCCCGACGGCTCCGGCCCCGCTCGGTGACCGCCTCAGCCCGTGCGCCCGGCTCACCGGGGCCCCGCAGCCGCCGCCCGCGCCGCCATGGCCCGCGCCCCACGCCGCCGCCGGCCCGCCCCTCCTGGCCCTCCCCTCCCCCGGCCGGCCTCCGGAGGCGGCGAGCGAAGGGATGGACCTAGAGGAGGGGTCCCGCCCCCGGCCGGCCTTCGAGGCTAGGACACCAAGCGGGCTAGCTCTGCTGGTCTCCCGAGGCCCAGGCGCAACCCGAGTCGGGGACGCCGAGTTAGGCCGGGCACATGGCCAGCCCCCAAGCTATTGGAGACCCCCTTCATAGAAATCCTGCCCCAATTCGGGGTTTCCAAAATAAAGAACTCCAAAATCAAGGTCGGACCCAATGGAGAGGGGATCCCCGAAACTTGGACATCTTCAATTTAAGACCTCCCTGGAAACTGAGATTTTCACATTCCACGGAGCTGTTATATTGAAATTTTTCCAGTAAAAGCCCCTCAACTGAGACTCTGTTAATAGTTTATCTTCCCCTCTTCTGCATCTGAACCCAGTTGGTCCTACAGTGTAAAGGGGTTTGGATGCTGGAGGAGGAAGGTTGTGTTGCTAGATGAGGAAGAGTGATCAGGGTTGACTGTGGAGTCCCTGATCTTGGTAGTAGGAGAGGTGCTCTCCCTCTAGATATCCCCCCAGATTGCATTGCCTCTCAGAAGGAGGTAAAATGATGAGCTACCTTCTTCCCCTCTGACCCCCAGAGAATCCACAGCCAGGCTCTAAAACCAATAATTTCTGCCTTTCATTATAACCATCACAGACCACTATGCCCCTGACTGATGCCAAGGTCTTTCAAAGCTGGAATAACAAAGGATTGCTCTTAGTAACCCCACCTACTCTACTCTTGGTGTAGAGGGCCACCTCGAATGTCTGCTTATAATACACAATCTCATTTTCAAATATTTGCTAGCTGGTGACTTTTTCTACTGACTGTCCATCACTTCCATCCCCATACTTCTTTTCTTCCCAGCAAAAGCACAGTCTTCTTAAATATTCTGCTTCTTTGATGGGAGAAATCATGTTTGTTTAATGGAAACAAACTCTTCTACATAAGATTTAGGACAAGAGTACCAGAATTTGCCCCTCAGGAGCTGAGCGTGGTGACTCATATCCCAGCAACCGAGGGATGCCAAGGCAGGAAGATGGGATCCCGGAGTTCAAGATCAGCCTCAGCACTCACTGAGGCCCTAAGCAACTTAGTGAGACCCTATCTCAAAATAAAAAATAAAAAGAGCTGGGATGTGGCTCAGAGGTAAAGTGCCAAAAAAAAAAAGAATTGCTCTTCAGTCTTACACTCCTCTCTAAATAGTTGTACAATGTGGGAGCAAATCAATTACCCTTGCTCACCTGTTCTCTCTTCAAAGACAGAGGAAGGGGAAAGAATTAGATCAGGGATTCTAAGTCTTGAACTTGAATAAAACCAAGAGTGTCAATGAAGCTTTTTGTATTTTTCTGGGATGGAGGCCCATAGCTACACTGAATTTTTATTTTATGTATTTTTGTGGTGCTGGGGATTGAACCCAGGGCCTTGTGCATGTGAGGCAAGCACTCTACCAACTGAGCTATATCCCCAGCCCATACGTTGAATTATTTAAGGCCAATGTGACTGACCATGGACTCCAATATAGTGGAACTATTTAAAGATACCTCCCTGTTCAACCAGTCTGGGCTTCTACTGCTGAACAGGTTTTAGGAGAGTGGAAGCTGCCTGTAGTGCCAGAGTCCTGCAAGGGTCCCAAGCTCCTCCCTCCCTCTCCTGCCCCTAAGACATTGTTCCTCTTTCTGGCCATCACTTCCCTTATAGCAACCACAGTTCCAAAATCATCTTCAAGATATTCACTTTCCAGAGAACATGTGGAACATCTGTTTTCAGCTGGATGAATAGAAATCCAAATGACAAAAGGAAGGTAGAAGTGGAGATGGCAGAAGAGGAAAAGTTGGAGACTAATTTGGTTTATGGTTAGAACCAATTGTAAGTCCCAAATCCAAAGGGTATCTGAAACAGGAGGGGACAGGAGACATGGTCTCTCAGAAGCTCTGTGAGGAGAATGTGTGTTTCTTCCCTGGAAGCCTTCCCAAGAAGCAGTGAGGAAGCCCAGTGGCACAGAATGACCTCATTTAAACTTGATTACATCTGTAAAGACCCTATTTCCAGATAAGGTCACATTCATAGGTACTAACATTTAGGACTTGAACATATCTTTTGGTGATGGTGGGGACACAATTCAACCCAGTATTAGGCACAAAGGATGTTGTGTACAGGAGGTACTCCAAAGAATAGACACTTTCTCCCAGTGTCTGGGCAGTGATGAACACTCTTTTTGTAAATCTTTACTTTTAGCAAACTCTTGGGGTTTATGCAAAACATGAACCCTGGAGGAGATTGTTTGGTTAAGTTTTAGGATTGCTTTAACTAATGACCTTGCTATGACTTTACTTCTGTAGGTTTTTGTTTGTTTCAGTGTTGGGGCTCAAATCCAGGACTTTGCATATGGTAAGCAAGCACTCTACCTAGCCCTATTTCTGTTCCATACTTTTATATTCTTTGTACTTAATATTGGGTTGAACTGTGTCCCCACCACCACCAAAAGATATGTTCAAGTCCTAAGAGCTAGGACTTGACCTTATCTGACCTTATCTGGAAATAGGGTCTTTACAGATGTAATCAAGTTTAAATGAGATCATTCTATGTCATTGTGCTATGTATCTATCCCTTTCATCAATACCAGTCTTGTTTACTGTTGCTTTGTAAGAAATTTTGAAATCAGGAAGTGAGAGTCCTCCTAATTTGTTATGGGTTTTATTTTTTTTTCTTTTCTTCTAGGTTGCCACCATTAATCTGTCTCTTAAAATCAATATGAATTTTAGTATCAGCTTGTTAGTTTTTATAAAAAACTAATCTGTAATTCTGATAGGGATTGCAATGATTCTATAGAATAATTTGGAGATTATTGCTATCTTAACGATATTATATCCATGAGCATTTATTTAGTAGGTTTCTTTTTTGTATTGGGGTCTGAATCCAGGGCACTTTATCACTAAGCTACATCTCCAGTCCTTTTTATGTTTTTTATATTGAGACAAGGTCTTACTGAGGTGCTCAGGCTGGCCTAGAACTTGCAATCCTCCTGCCTTATCCTCCAGAGTCGCTGGGAGTATAGGTGGGCACGGCTGCACCCAAGAGTATTTTTAATATTTTTCAACAATGTTTTGTAGTTTCCCAGAGACAAGTTTTATACCTAAGACTATTGTACATTTTTTTCTTAATTTCATTGTCAATTTGTTCATTGCATTTAAATAAAAATATTAATGATTTGTATATTTTAATAACAAGGTCATACTGGATTAGAGTGGGACTCTATTCAATGACTGGTGTTCTTATAAGAAGAGCAAAAATTCAAGCACAGAGGCACACCCACAGGGAAGAATGCCAGGTAAGGAGGAGGCAGAGACTGGAGAGATATTTTCTACAAGCCAAAAAGAAAACTGGAGAGACCCCTAGAAGCCAGGAGAGAGACCTGAGCAGAGGCTCCCTGAGAGACTCCAAAAGAAACCAACCTTGCTCACTCCTTGCTTTTAGATTTCTGACTTCAAGGACTATGAGCCAGGAAGTTCTTGTCTTGAGTCCCCCAGTCTGTGGCCATTCATCATGGCAGCTCTGGGAGCCTCCTGCATGTCCCATCAGGATGGCAGTGTGAAGGAGAAGGTGGCGTCCCCGCTTCACAGATTGCCCCCATCCCTCACCCTTCCACTGCTGAGTATTTCCCCACAGATTTCCCCACTGGTCTTAGAAAAAGAGGCTCCCTCCTCCTTGAGCAGCTGCCTTGCTCTGGACCATCCCTCCATACTCCCTGCCTCGCCGTCTACCTGTGTTCTGCCAGGCCTCCTTCCCCCTTTCTCAAAGATCCTCCCTGTTCTGCTCCCCTTTCCTTAGGAAAGAAGGGGACTCCCGTGTCAGTGCTCTGGTTGGCACTTTGGAATCCTGCTTGGACCACCGCTCCCCACAGGGGACACTGCGGTTTCCCGTGAACCTTCGGATGCCACTCGTGGGGCCTTTCCTTCACACATCTGCTAGCCCCATCCCATGAGACATCTTCCCTTCTAGATCGTCCTCCTGGCACACTCTCTCTCCTTTCTCTGGCTCCTTTCTCTCTGAGGCTGACTCCCGTCCTCTTCTATCCACATGCCCCTTCCCTCCTCTAAAGGGAAAGTGCTATGTGACGCTGACTGGTAGTGTCCCCAGGGTGGCTACTTACCTTTCTGGAGCCTATATTTCTGCATCTTTAAATTGGGAACAAACATCACCCATCGGTAGGGTTTTAGGAGAATTAAATAATAGCACCGATATGCCAGGTGCTTTGGCACATGCCTGTAATCCCAGCGGCTTGGGAGGCTGAGGCAGGAGGATCATGAATTCAAAGCCAGCCTCAGCAACAGCGAAGTGCTAAGCAACTCTGTGAGACCCTATCTCTAATAAAATACAAAATAGGACTGGGGATGCGGCTCAGTGGTTGAGTGTCCCTGAGTTCGATTCCTGGTTCCCC